TGGAAAGAATGCAAACGTGAGTTAAAGCATAACAAGGAGGAAATGAATCTGGTGCAACTTGGAACCCATCTTCGGATTGAGGAGTCCATCCGAGATCAAGAGGGAAAGAAGGTGAAGGACATAGCCGGTCCATCGTCCATCAACATGGTCGAAGACGAAGGTTTCACCAAAGTGAAGAATAAGTCTAAGGGTAAAAAGCGCAAGTCCGGAAATACACCCAAACCTGCAAATAAAAGTCTAAAATGGGTTGTTGGAAGTGTGGGAAACCAGGCCACTTCAAGCAGGATTGTCGGATTGGCAAGCGGGACAAGGATACAAGTAAGAATGGTTCCGGTCAAGGAACCAAGGACCAAAACAAATCAGTAGGTCAGATTATTCCACTCATCAATGATTCGGTTAAGAATTATGTCTCAATTATATCTGATGCATTTTATGTGCAGGATGATGACATCTCTTGGTGGGTTGATTCGGGGGCAACATGTCACGTGTGCAAGGATAAAAGATGGTTCAGTTCATTGGAATCAATGGACTATGGATCAGTGTTGCGCATGGGAAACTTAGCCACCGAACCTGTCAAGGGAATTGGAATAGTAAAACTTGCATTCACTTCCAGCAAAACTGTACTCTTAGATAATGTATTATATGTACCAGGTCTTCGTAAAAATCTTATATCGGGGATTGTATTGAATAACCATGGATATAAACAAGTATTAGAAAGTAATAAATATATTTTATCTAGGCATGGTGGCTTTGTAGGTTTTGTTTATTTATGCAATGGCATGTTTAAATTAAGTCTGAATGTTCCTTTTGGCATGAATGATGTTTGTATGACGACTACATGTGATGCCTTAAACAAATCTGTTTTATGGCATGCTCGTTTAGCTCATGTGCATTACAAAAGATTACAAGATATGTCCAAAAGTAACTTAATTCCTGCATTTGACATAAATCAAGACAAATGTAAGACATGTATGTTAACCAAGATAACTAGAAAACCGTTTAAAGAAAACAAAAGGGATTCTAGTATACTTGAACTCGTTCATAGTGACTTGTGCGATTTTCATGCAACTCCATCTATAAGAAATAAAAAATACATGATCAATTTTATAGATGATGCCTCTAGGTTTTGTTATGTATATCTTTTACATGCTAAGGATCAAGCATTGGAAACTTTTAAAGTATACAAAACCGAGGTAGAATTGCATAAAAATAACTTGGTTAAAACTATTCGGACAGATAGGGGAGGAGAATATTTTGATCCGGTTTATTTTCAATCTGTTGGTATAATTCATGAGACCACGGCTCCTTATACACCACAACAAAATGGTGTAGCCGAGCGAAAGAATAGGACCTTAAAAGAAATGGTAAACTCTATGTTGTCTTACTCGGGTTTGAGTGAAGGATTTTGGGGAGAGACTATGTTAACAGCATGCTATTTGTTAAATAGAGTTCCTAACAAAAGGAGCAAAATTACCCCTTATGAAATTTGGTATGGGAAGCCACCAAACTTGAATTATTTAAAAGTTTGGGGTTGTAGGGCGGTTGTAACTCCCAGAACCTAAGAGGAGAACCTTGGGTGAAAAAGGAATTGATTGCATTTTCATTGGATATGCTCAGCATTCTAAGGCTTATAGATTCTACGTTATAGAATCTAATGACTCGGTGGGAGTAAACACCGTGATCGAGTCAAGGGATGCAATCTTCGATGAAAATAGGTTTTCATCAATACCTAGACCAAGAGATATGGTTCTAGGTGATTCATCTATACCAAACGAAGGGGACTCTAGTAGAGATGGTTTCTACTAATGAGTCCTTCGTTCCTACAGAAATTAGGAGAAGCAAAAGACATAGAGTTGCCAAATCCTTTGGGTCAGATTTTCAATTATATTTAATTGAAGGTTCTAGGGATGAAATTTTAATTCAATATAAATATTGTTATAATATTGAAGCCGATCCTAGAACATATAATGAAGCTATGGCTTCAAGGGACGTGGCGTTTTGGAAAGAGGCTATTCAAGATGAGATGGACTCTATCTTGCATAACAGTACTTGGAAATTAACGAACTTACCTCCTAGATGCAAACCTTTAGGATGTAAGTGGATCTTCAAGAAGAAGATGAAAGTAGACGGTTCAATCGATAAGTTTAAAGCAAGGTTAGTGATACAAGGCTTTAGACAAAAAGAGAGAATTGACTACTTTGATACCTATGCCCCTGTTGCAAGAATTTCAACCATTAGGATGTTAATTGCTCTAGCTGCTATACACAATCTTGTGATTCACCAAATGGATGTAAAAACAGCTTTCTTAAATGGTGAACTAGAAGAGGAAATCTACATGAAACAACCTGAAGGGTTTGTTATGCCAGGAAATGAGCATAAAGTATGTAAGCTAGAGAAGTCACTATATGGCTTAAAACAAGCACCGAAACAATGGCATCAAAAGTTTGATGATGTTGTGTTGTCAAATGGCTTTCTTTTAAACCAAGCAGACAAGTGTGTTTATAGCAAATTTGATACTTCAGGTAAAGGAGTTATAATTTGTCTATATGTTGATGACATGTTGATTTTTGGAACCGATCAAAATCAAGTCAATAAAACAAAAGAATTCTTGTCATCACATTTTTCCATGAAGGATCTAGGGGAGGCAGAAGTAATCCTAGGCATTAGGATAAAACGGGTGAACAATGAGATATGCATTACACAGTCTCATTACATTGAGAAAATTTTGAAGAAATTCAATTTTGAAAATTGTTCTCCGGTTAACACCCCTATGGATCCAAGCATTAAACTTTTGGCCAATCAAGGAAAGGCCGTGTCTCAACTTGAATACTCAAGGGCTATTGGTTGCTTAATGTATGCCATGGTTAGCACAAGACCGGATATAGCATATGCCGTTGGAAAGCTTAGTAGGTT